CCCCAAAACCCCAAAACCCCAAAACCCCGGTAGTAAGTTGGATCAAGCAAATAATATATAAGTGAAAAATATATTTATAAAGAAATTTGCAATTGAAATATTATATAACGAGATATTCTTAATAAAGCAGACAAATTTATAATTATAAAAATGAACTAGGCCTAGTAATAAAACAACAATAATAGCAATAATAGCATTTAAAATTTAGAGCAATCCGTGCCTGACACACAGTAGATTATTAAGAAAGCTCTAAACATTAAATCTTTGAAAAAGAATTTCAGTTTAGATAAGTTAAAGCAAGGGCCAGTTATATAAAACATCTGAGAAAAGAGCTAGCAAATAAACTTTAACTAGACTTCTAAAATAATTCACGACTTCAGTTGATAGTAGATTACTCTTAAGTAGCTTAGAAGTGGAGATAATTTGAAGACAACATAATATTAAGAGATAACTGCAAACATAATCAAGCACACTAATGCCAATAAGCCAGATGAAATCGTTGAAAGTATGACATTTGAAGAGCCATCATCATCAGAATAACTATTGCACCAAGAGTTGCAGCAGAATTAGCCAAAAAAAGCAAATAAATAGTATGATAGAATAGAGTCACATCATCCGACAATTAAAGAAGAGAATAGCTAGGATGAGAGCGGATCATTCTACCGCTAGAAGAAAAAAGACTCATTCAAAGTCAGTCTAAAGACCAATCGTGAAAGCACTAATGGAGAGGGTCAAGGAATAAAAATGAATAAAAATATGTCATACTCACCTAGTAGAAAGTAACTTAGCAAATTTATCAAGCAATCAAATATAATTAAAAAAGAAAATAAAATGGATATGCTTAAAATATAGAATGATTTAAAGCAAGTTATTGAAAATAACACTCAAAAGGGTGTAAGCATCACTCTAGGAAATAAGAATATAAAGATTCTGAAAAATAATATTACCTTACAAGACAGTCCTCAAAGATTCAACACTAAATTTGACAAGATTAGATAGAGTGTTGAAAATAGCAAAGAATTCAGGGAGGATTAAATGAAGAATAAATTTGATAGTACTGAAATGGAGGATATCAATGTATTAAGTCCTGCAAAGTAATAAATCATAAGGAATAAATAGTAACTGGTCTCTATAAGATAAGGTCTCATTAAAATAAACAAAAAAAGTAACCTAATAAGGGAGTCTAGGAATGAGGTGTCACACAATAATGATACCTTAGCAGAGATCTATGATTTAAAGATTTATGATAAAGATAGTAACAGAGGAGGTAATCAATCGTTCAGAGGAAGGAAATATGGAGTATCTCCCAGAAATATTAGCAACAATAACTCACACAGATCAAATAAGAACAATGAATCTTAAGAGTTCGCTAATGAATCACTCAAGTTGCCCTCAGTTATGAATGAGAACCATTATCTCAGAAAATCTCTAGAATCTCTCAGATAGAGTAAAGAGGATGCTGCCAAAATGAAAGAATTTCATAGAGATTTAAATTCATCTCAAAGGAGCTAGAGAAGTTACAGATAACAATCGCAGTTGCCTGAAACGATTGAGAATGAACAATATCCCATAGTACCTATCAATAGGGGTCAAAAGATTTAATAAGATTCTTAGCTAAAACATTTATCAAAAGTGGTAAGCGAGCTGCTCAAAGAATAGTTGGAACTCAAGAACAAATTAACATAGTAGGAATAGATAATTTCTAATTTGCAATAATCACAAAGTCAATAAAATTTCCACTAGCCTTAGTAAGATAGTGAATTGAGGACAGATGAGTAAGTTCTGAATGGACACAAAGAACAGAACATTTAAAGAAGAAGTTTGAAATTCTTGCCGAAAAACAAGAATTTATTATACAATACGACAAACTCAAATCATCACTTTATGATGTAAACTTAGGACCAGCAAGCAAATACCAAGAATATACCAATAATAACAATTTCAAACCAGAAGCAAAATGCTGGACTACAAAGATATTTAGAGTAAACTTCAAAGATTTAATCTGGACTATCTTCAGCTGGTAGTTATGACATTCCTAATTAGGCTTCAGATTTTAACTCTGTTTCAACCCCTTTATCTTCATAAAATGGAGTTAATAAACAAGAAAGGTTTCATAACGTGATAAAGATCTAAAAAGATAAGATTTAAACCGCACAAACAATTAAGAACACCTATCAAAACATCATCGTGAATATGAATTAAACCGCTTCGAATTCATAAAACATCCAAAATACTACTAATGATCCATAGTCTGAATACTATCATAGGCCAGAGACTCGAATCTTGAAAATAAAGAAATCAGATCGAAGGAAAAGGTATGAAGTGAATGCTAGCAATGAAATTGGTAACACTTAAGATTACCAGACACAATAGGTATATAGTGTGCCAAAAATAAAACTCAAGTAAATTCATCCTCCACAGACTTAAAGTAGTGAATCTGATAGTGGTTACAATTTCAGCTTTAGCGGTAGAATCAATATTCCTAAAGTAGATATTGATGATAAGCAGAATTAAAACCCCAATACCGCATAATCAGCGAGTAATCATTAAGTTGAGAATTCGGATACATCTTAAAACGGAGCTAACAATGGTGAAATGCCTAGACTAACTTCTGTTTAGAGTAATTATTCAATTAGCTCTCTTGGAACTTAAAGTAACAATCATCAAAAGATAGGCATCAACCTTAAAAAATTCCCCAAAGACTTCTTTTCACCTAAGAATTCTAGAATACTAAGCCAAATATAATAAAGATAGTAGTATGAAAGAAATAACACAACTCCTTCGAATCATATTTAACTGGAATGAAAGTTTAATTAGTAAAGGTTAATCGAATACAATGCTGAATTGCAACTTTTATTGATATAGTAATTATAAATAGCTACTATCTACACCAATTTATAAGATGCAAATTAATTTTATTTTAAATTTAACCTAAAATTTGGCATATTAGAACTATGGGGTTTTGGGGTTTTGGGGTTTTGGGGTTTTGAAA